CCATTGAAATTCCAAAAGGTCCAATAACTTACACCGCAACAGAAAGAAAATAGACTCAAAAGAAAATTGCTTCGCTTGGCTGAAAGTGGTGAACTGCCGAATTTGTTTTTTTCCGATTAGAAAACATTCGGTGTCCAGCAGTTTGTAAACAAACAAAATGTTCGTGTTTACATGCCAGAGAGGTCAGCTGAAAATGTGCACCTTCGGTTGGTCACCAGAACTCAAGCGCCGACCATGGTGATGGTATGGGCCGCCATAGCAGCCGATGGTCGCTCTTCGCTCGTATTATTCGACCGTGGCATCAGAATAAAATATTATCGCGAAAATATTCTGGAAGGTGTATTAAAGCCTTGGGCACGCAAACATTTTGGCCGCAGACCTTGGACATTCCAACAGGACTCAGCACCATTGCACTCAGCACGCGCCACTCAAGAATGGTTACAAAATTAGGTTCCTCGCTTCATTTCCATGGCCACCAAAATCTTCCGATACCAATCCGTTGGACTATTGTGTCTGGGGTATTTTGGAAAGCAAGGTTGACACCAAAATACCAAAGTGTCGATCACCTCAAGCAAGCGCCTCGCCAGGAATGGGCCAAAATACCGCAGAGCAACATTCGGGCAGCGTGTATTGGTCGTTTGAAGGCCATAATTCGTGCCAAAGGTGACCAATTAGACAAAATCTAAACTCATTCTAAAATTTGATGCTATTTCCGACATTTTTTGCTTTCGTTCAATAAAATTTAAAAAAAATGTAAAAATTATGGCGTTTGACTTTGTTGCAGTTTTTTTATTTCACCCTGTATATTGAGACAATTTTCTCCGAAAATTCAAATTAAAGGAGAGAAAGAATATTTGCGATGGAATTCTCTTAAATAATAATGTACATCATTAATATTTCTCAATACTTAACTAATCCCAACAATAAACACTTTTCCGAAAATGTTCTCCAACATTTAATGCCTGACCAATTTTAAATACTCCACTTCACATTTAATGTTTTAATGTTTGAATCCCCTCTGACTAAATATGTTTATTGATTGCAAATGCGGATTACTTTAAGACGATCGAACGAAACAGCTCAATAAAGTTTCAATTCCCCACATGGGGGGCTTTTCGTTTTGTTTGCGAAGTTCTTTTCAGGCACACACGTGCGTTATCACCATTTTCCTCATTTCTCTTTCAAACCGTCTATTTATGTGTGTCGTATTGTCTTCCTGGAACTCAAGTACTTAAAACTTTTGCCTTTTGTGTGGTGGCAGCAAAAGCAGAACATATGCAAATGCTAAATATGCGAGGCTATAAAGTGTGAAAAAGTTAGGCAAAGAGAAGAAAACTTATTTTCAAAAGAAACAGAAAATAACATAAAGTTGAAATGCAAAATGGAGTTTGATGAGTGCCACAGCATCGGGTCTATGAAAAGGTTCGTCGATGAAATCTTATTATTAATAGGGACGAAATATACAAATTATTTAATTATTATTTATCAATATTTTCGAAGTAAGGAAAAGTCAAAAGTCGGGCGGGGCTGACTATATGATACCCTACACCACTATGCATATTTAGTAGAGCTGCCGTAACAAAATAATTTATTTGAAGTAGATCATACACCTGTCAACATTTGGCTTTAGAACAGTTATAGTTTGGTTTCAGAGGGAACTAATATATATGGGAGGCATGTCCAATTCTGAATCGATTATCATCAAATTTGACGGAGGCATTTTAATCTTTTATACCAAATAACATTTCTATAGAGTGCATGACATCACTTCAAGAAGAATTATATTAAAAAAGTATATATCGGAGCCGAGTTCCACAAAATGGAAACGTACGTCCCGAAATTCACTCCATTTGGGCTGATATTAGACATTATTTGCACAATAAACCTGAAATGGGATAAAGGATATGTATGGGAGCTATATATATCTCAAGAAAGAATTACAAAGGTATTTCTGAGCTCTATAAGATATCTGGTACCAAATATCATTGTTGTTGAATGCATATTATGAATGTGAGGGACTTAAACACCAAATCGCATGAAACATATATATGGCAGCTATAGCTATATCTAAACCGATTTTCACCTAATTTGATGTGCTTGCTCCTAGACTAAATTCGGTCGGATTTGCGAAATTTCAGGTCACTTGGACTGATATTGGTCAAAGCAGAAGGAAGTTCGACGGGGTAAACTAGATATGTGCTCTAAACTGAGATGACATCTTTACATGATTTTTCTATCCTACACCTTAGAAAAGGGGCTATATTAACTTTGTTATTCCGTTTGTAGCATCCCTAAATATTCGTCGTAGACCCCATAAAGTATATATATTCATAATCAGCATAAAATTCTAAGTCGATTTAACGATGTCCGTTTGTCTGTCCGTCTGTCTGTTGAAATCACGATACACCCCACATTATTTGACGTAGAGCATCAAAATTTAGCAGAACAATTTGTATTGTGTCTAGGATGGTCGATATTGAAGATGAGATATATCCGTCCTCGTTTTGGTATAGTGGTTTTTGTCATATTTTTTCACGGATTTGTCTTGAAATTGGTATTTATTGGACATAATGGGTTCTGGCTGCGGTGGCGAAATATTGTATGAATGGGTCCACGCTTTGGTATAGCCCCCATATAACGGTACCTCCCGATTTTTGGTATTTTGATGGTTTTTGCCACTTTTTTTCACGGGTTTGTCTAAAAATTAGTATTTGTTGGTCGTAATGGGTGCAGGCTGTATAGGTCCACGTTATGGTATAGCTCCCAAATAACGGTACCTCCAGATATTCGGTATTTTGAGGATTTTTGTCAAATTTCTTCGTGGATTTGTCTAGAAACTGGTATGTGTGTATCCTAATGGGTTGTAGCGCCGTTGCCAAAACATTGTATATATAGGGTCACGTTTTTGTATGGCCCCATATAGTGGTACCTCTTAATATATTTGTGGGTCACAATGGATTCTAATGTTTTCTTTACCCTAAGATGGAGGGTATTACAAGTTCGGCCCGGCTGAACTTAATGTTTTTTTACTTGTTATACCCTCCACTCGAGTTGTGCCAGTCTACTTCATAGTTCAGTACACCAGTTCCTAAAGTATGAGTGATGTGATATATTTCGCATCACTCATACGCATAGTTTTCATGCAAACGAATGGAGTCCACGGAACTAAATAATAAATTAGTTCGTTCAATCGAACTAGATTGGCACAACTCTAGTGGAGTTGCATGGATGGTAGATCTTGCGTTAGGAAAAATATTTGGATGTGTGATATTCGAAGAGAGTTGGATGCTCATTTCGATTTCTTTGAGCGTTTTGCTTTTAAAAAATTTTTAACCCTATATGGGGAGGTACCATTCACACCAGACCTTGGGCAAATAAATATGTTGAGATGTATGTAATGTAATGTATGTAAGAAGTGGAAGATTATTTCCAATTTTATGATCGTTTTGGTTATTCAATATTGTAACCCTTTGTGGGGGAGGTACCAGAGGGAGCGGTCCGATCTCCACCATCTTTATAATAGAGCTTGTGTTGATGGAAATATTAAAATGTACCACGTCTGAATTGAATCGGATGTTATTTTCGCGTTTTTTTGAGCTTCATGGATATTCATAATATTGAGCCTTTGTGGGGAGGTACCAAAAGGAGTAGACAGATATATCTTCACAGCAGAACTTGTATTTGCATAAGTAGTGGGATATGTGAAATATGAAAAGAAACCGGTACCAAGTCTGAATGAAATCGGATGCTAGTTTCGCGTTTTATGCGCTTCATGGATTTTCAAAATTCAATTGAAATTGAAATGGATTTAGATCAAAGAGACCTACAGTCTATTATCGTATACGATGAGGCACGTCTTTGCCGTATAAATGATATTTACTCCCTGAAGCCATATGGCTGAGGGTAAGTGACTATTGAAAGCTTAAATAACAGTTCCGTTGCAAAATGTCTAACTTTATAAAAATTCAGAATCTCTGAAGGTACCGTTTTATGGGGCTATAGGAAAACATAGACCTATATAGATTTTTGTTTGAACATTGGAAGGCGATATACCAAAGTTTTAACATTTCTGTTGAAAAATGAGGCCATAATCATCAACATGACGAAGAACAAGATTGTCAGCGTTCACTCCCTTTAGCCCTTAGGAATAGGATAAATAGTACGTATTTTTATAGAAAATGAAAAAAATTGGTTAATAATTTTGGGAAAAGTATTAATTTTTAATACGACAATTATCGAATTTCTTAGAGAAATAAGAAATCGTTGTCGATAAAATTTAAATTTTTGCCGGGAAAACTGAAGTAAGAACCACAACAATCCAATTTAAAGAAAACCACTTGTAAGCTTTTAATTATCATACCTTTAATAACTTTGTTTGGATTAGTTTGAAATTATATTTCTCAAATCCTCGAAAACTGCTGTAATAAGTTCTATATTTAATTTTTAGTACCGAAGTTTGGTTACGTCACAATCCTATATTTCGTACTCTGTAAAAAAAAATTTGTATCAATAAAGATGTAACAGTTTTTGGTTCAAAAATGTTAAACTGCCTATATTTGTGATTTTTGGCTGTAAACTCAGCATGCAATGTAATAATTCACTCTCCAAAGATAGTTCTTACCTTTGAAAGGTAGACATAAGTTCTTGGAAAATAAAGTCAATACATCAGAAATTGTCAAAATAAGTAAATCCCCTAAAGGATTAAATCAATAAAAATGTAAATATGTATTTGGCAGAAAAAATAAATAAAGAAAGGGGAAATAAAATAAATGCAGGGAACACAAAAACGGAAAATAAACAGTCAAACACAATATGCAAAACGTATCTAAACAACTTATGCTTAGAAATAGTTTTAAGTTACCCTCAAAATTAACATTTCTATTCAAATCCAATCCAAATCATATTTCAAAACACACACCCAAAATCAACTCCCCCTTAACCATCACAATAATCAAATTATTTAAACCATATGTTTTCTATTCTTCTTATTTTCCTTTCAGATTCTGAACTAGAAGAATTTGAAACGCCGGCACGTTATCGGCCCGATTCACTGGGCGCCTTGAGCCGTGCCACCCGCTTTACAGAGGATGAAATCAAGCGAATTTATCGCGGTTTTAAGGCTGAATGTCCCACGGGTGTCGTCAAAGAGGACACCTTCAAACTGATCTATGCGCAATTCTTTCCCCAGGGAGGTTCGTGCGGTACAGTATAATTTGTTTTGTTAACATTTTTGCTATGACTTTAGTTACTAATGCCTGCCTATCTATCCATGCGTTTTTCTATTTCCATGTTTTTTGTGTGTGTGGTGTGGAATTAAAGCAAAAGAAAAAAACATATTTCATTGCCCACATAAATTCAATGTCTCTGTGTGTGTGTATGTAATTTGGTTGTCTCTGAGATGTGTCTGTAAAACGCACAATATGACATTAAAATAAATTAAGATTTCAATATTATTATCAATGTATGTGTAATTCTGAAAATTGTATGTCGTTTAATTAGTTAGATAATGCTATTGATATTTAAAAGAAGTGAGATTAAATCTATCTATCTATGCTTTTAAAAGTATGAAATTTATTAAGAATAGTTTGTAAGCTAACATAAATGTAAGTTACGTTAATATTTTTGTATAACATTTTTTTCATATTTATAAAAATTATTATAATCATCCATATCATTTTGAGACACTTTTTTGTATTAACATTTTAATGAGTTCATTGAAGTTCAAACGTATGGGTCGGTATGCCGTCAGCCAATGGCTAAATATAATGATTGTTTTATTTATAACTAAGTACAAAAGAACACATTTTTATACCCTCCACCATTCATAGTATGGAGGGTATATTAAGTTCGTCATTCCGTTTGTAACTCATCAAAATAATCATTTTTAACCCAACAAAGTATATATATTCTTGACCAGAGTACAATTCTAAGACGTTTTAGCTAAAATTTTGCACAAATCTCTCTTTTGTCTGCAGGTCAAGTTCGAAGATGGGCTTTATCGGTCCACGATATCGTATAGCCCCCATATAACGGTACCCCGCGATATTCGGTATTTTGATGATTTTAGCCACATTTTTCAAAGGATTTGTCTTCTGGGTACTTTATCCCTTGGAAGAGAATTATTTATATAGGTCCACGATATCGTATAGGCCCCATTTAACGGTAACCCCGATATTCCGATGTTAGCCACATTTTTCAACGGAATTGTCTGAAATTGTACACAAGGGGTTCTTTGTGAGCACTTTACCCCCCGACAGAGAATTCTCTATATAGGTCCAAAATATCCCCCCATACAACGGTACCCCATGATTTTCGGGATTTTGATGATTTTATCCAAATTTTCCAATGAAATTATCTGAAAATCCACACAAGGAGTTCCTTTTTAGTACTTTACCCCCAGACATAGATTTGGTCCACAATATCGTATATCCGCCTCATATATCGGCACCTTCCGATATTAGGTATTATAAAGATTTTAACAGAATTTTTAATGGATTTTATTTTTATGAACATTTTCTAATTCGTTCCAAATGGTGGAGGGTATTCAAACTTACTGCTTTTTTATTTGTCTTCGATAAGACCGTGCAAAAAAAATGTGTATATCCATCATATTTTTGCTAAGAAGTCGCCGAAGATATTCTTATAAAATTTCCGATTTTCAGGAATGAAATTAAAAAAAAAATTACCCTCCGGAATACATTGCAATGAAACTATACTCTCAATAAAAATTAATAGAAATGTAATTATAAGAACCTTTGATTTACCGATCTATCCGCATCGCATGAGTTTGTCCAGACCCAGTCATTTTTGGTGGAAAATTTTGGAATTTTTGCATTTCGTGTTTATAACCTTCCGAACTATGTGTTGGGGTCTTCCTATCTCACCTATGGTAATGAATATCTGGGCGTGGCTTTGGAAATGCGTGCTATTATTGTGGGAAAAGTACTAAGTGGTACTAAATTTGGTATTTGGTAAATGGAGTGGGCTGGAATCCTCATATTTGGTATTGAAGTCTCTGGCTGGTACCTGGAAATGAGATACCGTGGTGGGTTTGGATATGTGTTCTGAAATTGTACGGAAAGTACTACGCGGTACTAAATTTTGTATTGGGTGAAGGGATGAGGCTGGAATACCGAATTTTTGATATTGTGATATCTGTGCTTAGAATATGAAAGAGCTTTTTTTGTGGAAATGTGTGATATATTTGTAGTAAAAACTAATAATAAATTTTACTAAACTTGCTTTTGGGTGAAGGGATAAGAGTACAATCCTCAAATTTGATGTTGTGGTCTATGTGGGTATGAGGTATTGAGATCTACATGAAAACTACAAAGTGATAGTAAAATCGATATTGGATGAAGTCATTCAGCTGGAATACCAAATTTTTATATTGAGGTCTCTTTTGGTAATTTTTGGTGGTTTTGGAAATGCGTACTATAATTGTACGAATAGTACTAAGTGGGTTGGAATTTTCAAATTTGGTATTGAGGTGGTTTTGGAAACGCGTACTGAATTGGTACGACAAGTATTTCGTTGAACTAAATTTTGTATTGTATGGAGGTATATTAGGGCTGGAATTTGAATTTTATATTGAGTTCACTGTTGTTATCTGGAATCCAGATATGGACTGGTTTTGAAAATGCACTTTATATTTATACTTCAAGTACTTAATTTAGTATTGGGTGAAGGAATAGAGCTGAAATCCTTAAATTTGATATTGAGGTCTCATTTAGTGTCTAAGGTTGGGTAAATTGGTAGGCCTGTAATTCTCCAAATATTTAGTGGTTGAAGGGGTTGGCCAATTGAAGCGAAAATCAGCATGGGACTACAGTTCAGAGCTGGGCAGACCTACAAATTTGAATTGTCATCGACTGAGATTTATGGACCATATACGAAAAATACGAAAATGTCCATTAAGCCGCGAATACTTCTAATCCCGACGAAATCACATATACACAAAAAGGTCACTTTTGACTGTTACATTGATGCTGATATCAAAGATATCGCATATATAGTGAAATATATAAAAACTCAAATATGAAAGAAGCGAATGTTTGTTTGACAGCTATAATTCAAAAGCAGCTGGATGGATTTTGACAATTCTCACCAATTTAGAATGAGCTTTTGGCAGAAAAGGATAAAATCCAAAAAAAATCGCATAAAAATATATTAACAAAACTGCGGATTTTTTATTTATTTATTTATTTTTTTTTTTTTTTTTTTTTGTAAAATTTTGTCATATTTTTTATATTCAGGTCGCAATTATTGTCCGACCTTCACGAAATTTTTCATGAGGATAGTGTTAGGAAACCTAATGTTTTGCAAGATGTCCGTAAAATATTCAGGAGTTACCCAAACATAAAATCCTAAAAATTATATAAAAATAAAATGTTCAATATGCCTGGAAAAACTTATTTCGGATATGAAATTTCTGTTCTTTCCGAAAGAGCTAACTAGTTATTTGATGTAATAGCAAAATCTGCTTTGTAGAATACCAATGCTTTTTTAGAGATCGTATGTTTTTTTGAAAATATTTTTCTGAAGTATGATGACTATTTGAAAAGAGAAGCAATTACGTTCGAAATTTGTTTTTATTACGCAGTGCAGAAACTTTACCGCAAATTGTAGTTTTGTAGGGTATAACATTGTTAACCCCGTCCGACTACTGCCTTTGCTTACTTGTTTAATTTTAATTTTTGGATCTTAATGTGAATGTACCAAGGGAATGGACCGACATATTCCGCATTTCCATTAGAAATAATATTGGTGGAAACATTCAAGAATGGACTAAATATGAAAATAAAATATGAGTCTAGTATCACATTTTTTCAGAGTTATGAATATTCTAAATGTTAACACCAGAACTGAGTCTGATATAAAGATATGCGAAAAGTTGATCAAATTTCTTCGGCTATACATGTGATATATGTTTTTTCTTAAATATATGACATTTTATATGGGATTTTCTATAAGAATATCTACAGAAGAGAAAATCTACAGTTTTTTGATCTACAGAAGAAAAAATCTACAGATTTTCTAGCTATGTAAGTATTTTCAATGAGAATGAGAACTACAGATTTTCCATGAGGGAATCTACAGATTTTCTATGAAAAAAATCTGCAGGTTAGACATCAGAGATATATAGATATTCAATAAAAATATTGCAGATTTTCCATGGGAATATCTATAGATTTTTTGCAATTTTTTTGCGAAAATATTATTAAAAGAAAATTTCATTTTTTTTCTATTAGAAAGTCGACGGATTTTCTAGAATTCTACAGTTTAAAATAATTTCATATATTTGAATTAACATTTAACATATCTCTCACACTTGAACACAATCGGCCAAATTACCCTGATTTTCCCGCTCACCTGATCTTCCCACTTTACTAATGCTCTTTAGATTTTCATTTCGTAGATAGCGAAATTAAATGTCACAATGTCAGAAAGTACATTTGTATTACCCTGAATATCTACATTAGTTTCCCCCCTATGCTATGTTGTCTTTTTTTGGCAAAAAAAAGTATGTGACTTATTCCATGGAATGAATAAATGAATCATTTTAAATGTTTTATTACGCCATGCAACAACAGCAACAACAACGACGACGACAACAACAAAAATACATAATGGTCCATAATGATTGCATGACTACACAAAGACGAGTCGTAAATTCATTAAAATGTAACATATGATGCTGTTAATTTCGTTAATGTTTCAGTTCGCTACGACTTAGCAGAAGAGAGCAATGAAAGACGACAATGCCAAGTGTGAGGAGAGAGAGAGTTGGGAGGGAATAACAGATTTGATTTTAATTCCATCTAAAAGCTCTCTGTTGTGAATAAATGGAGAATGTCTCTGCCCTCTGATGCATATGTAATAAGAATTTGGCTAACAAATTGCTTCGAACGTAAATTGGTGTGTATGTCTGTAAATCTTAAATTATGGTTGGATATTTGTGTTAAATAGCATGCACGTATTTAGGGACATTTTTCAAACCTGAATTGCGATCAAATGTATTTGTGACAATATATTATGGAAAAAAATAACAGAGATTAGAAGATTTTGTTACAGATTGCTAATGAGCTGCATGAATGTTATTAAGGTATATTTTTCGATTTGTTTAATCTTCTTATGGTATGTGTAAATTTTTTTTAATGCCTTTATTTTTGATAATAAGAATTGCAAAATT